TTTTTTTTTTCGGGTCGAAATTTTGAAGTTTTGATATCTCAGCTCTGGAAGGGTCTAGATCATCCATTTTTGCACTCAGGTCAAAGTCTCACAGCCCTCTATCATAATCCAGAGTTTTGAGAAGATTGGAGAAACTTAATTTTTCGCCCAAAAATGAAAAAAAACAAAAGGGTAACACTGTCGTTTTTTTTTCGGGTCGAAATTTTGAATTTCGATATCTCAGCTCTGGAAGGGTCTAGAGCCTCCATTTTTGCACTCAGGTCAAAGTCTCACAGCCCTCTATCATAATCCAGAGTTTTGAGAAGATTGGAGAAACTTAATTTTTCGCCCAAAATGAAAAAAACGAAAGGGGTAACACTGTCGTTTTTTTTTCGGGTCGAAATTTTTGAGTTTCGATATCTCAGCTCTGGAAGGGTCTAGAGCCTCCATTTTTGCACTCAGGTCAAAGTCTCACAGCCCTCTATCATAATCCAGAGTTTTGAGAAGATTGGAGAAACTTAATTTTTCGCCCAAAAATGAAAAAAAACGAAAGGGGTAACACTGTCGTTTTTTTTTCGGGTCGAAATTTTGAATTTTGATATCTCAGCTCTGGAAGGGTCTAGAGCCTCCATTTTTGCACTCAGGTCAAAGTCTCACAGCCCTCTATCATAATCCAGAGTTTTGAGAAGATTGGAGAAACTTAATTTTTCGCCCAAAAATGAAAAAAAACGAAAGGGGTAACACTGTCGTTTTTTTTTTCGGGTCGAAATTTTGAGTTTCGATATCTCAGCTCTGGAAGGGTCTAGAGCCTCCATTTTTGCACTCAGGTCAAAGTCTCACAGCCCTCTATCATAATCCAGAGTTTTGAGAAGATTGGAGAAACTTAATTTTTCGCCCAAAAATGAAAAAAAACGAAAGGGGTAACACTGTCGTTTTTTTTCGGGTCGAAATTTTGAATTTCGATATCTCAGCTCTGGAAGGGTCTAGAGCCTCCATTTTTGCACTCAGGTCAAAGTCTCACAGCCCTCTATCATAATCCAGAGTTTTGAGAAGATTGGAGAAACTTAATTTTTCGCCCAAAAATGAAAAAAAACGAAAGGGGTAACACTGTCGTTTTTTTTTCGGGTCGAAATTTTGAAGTTTGATATCTCAGCTCTGGAAGGGTCTAGAGCCTCCATTTTTGCACTCAGGTCAAAGTCTCACAGCCCTCTATCATAATCCAGAGTTTTGAGAAGATTGGAGAAACTTAATTTTTCGCCCAAAAATGAAAAAAAACGAAAGGGGTAACACTGTCGTTTTTTTTTCGGGTCGAAATTTTGAAGTTTGATATCTCAGCTCTGGAAGGGTCTAGAGCCTCCATTTTTGCACTCAGGTCAAAGTCTCACAGCCCTCTATCATAATCCAGAGTTTTGAGAAGATTGGAGAAACTTAATTTTTCGCCCAAAAATGAAAAAAAAACGAAAGGGGTAACACTGTCGTTTTTTTTTTCGGGTCGAAATTTTGAAGTTTGATATCTCAGCTCTGGAAGGGTCTAGAGCCTCCATTTTTGCACTCAGGTCAAAGTCTCACAGCCCTCTATCATAATCCAGAGTTTTGAGAAGATTGGAGAAACTTAATTTTTCGCCCAAAAATGAAAAAAAACGAAAGGGGTAACACTGTCGTTTTTTTTTTCGGGTCGAAATTTTGAATTTCGATATCTCAGCTCTGGAAGGGTCTAGAGCCTCCATTTTTGCACTCAGGTCAAAGTCTCACAGCCCTCTATCATAATCCAGAGTTTTGAGAAGATTGGAGAAACTTAATTTTTCGCCCAAAAATGAAAAAAAACGAAAGGGGTAACACTGTCGTTTTTTTTCGGGTCGAAATTTTGAGTTTCGATATCTCAGCTCTGGAAGGGTCTAGAGCCTCCATTTTTGCACTCAGGTCAAAGTCTCACAGCCCTCTATCATAATCCAGAGTTTTGAGAAGATTGGAGAAACTTAATTTTTCGCCCAAAAATGAAAAAAAACGAAAGGGGTAACACTGTCGTTTTTTTTTTCGGGTCGAAATTTTGAGTTCGATATCTCAGCTCTGGAAGGGTCTAGAGCCTCCATTTTTGCACTCAGGTCAAAGTCTCACAGCCCTCTATCATAATCCAGAGTTTTGAGAAGATTGGAGAAACTTAATTTTTCGCCCAAAAATGAAAAAAAAACGAAAGGGGTAACACTGTCGTTTTTTTTTTCGGGTCGAAATTTTGAAGTTTGATATCTCAGCTCTGGAAGGGTCTAGAGCCTCCATTTTTGCACTCAGGTCAAAGTCTCACAGCCCTCTATCATAATCCAGAGTTTTGAGAAGATTGGAGAAACTTAATTTTTCGCCCAAAAATGAAAAAAAAACGAAAGGGGTAACACTGTCGTTTTTTTTTCGGGTCGAAATTTTGAAGTTTGATATCTCAGCTCTGGAAGGGTCTAGAGCCTCCATTTTTGCACTCAGGTCAAAGTCTCACAGCCCTCTATCATAATCCAGAGTTTTGAGAAGATTGGAGAAACTTAATTTTTCGCCAAAAATGAAAAAAACAAAAGGGTAACACTGTCGTTTTTTTTTTCGGGTCGAAATTTTGAAGTTTGATATCTCAGCTCTGGAAGGGTCTAGAGCCTCCATTTTTGCACTCAGGTCAAAGTCTCACAGCCCTCTATCATAATCCAGAGTTTTGAGAAGATTGGAGAAACTTAATTTTTCGCCCAAAAATGAAAAAAAACGAAAGGGGTAACACTGTCGTTTTTTTTTCGGGTCGAAATTTTGAATTTCGATATCTCAGCTCTGGAAGGGTCTAGAGCCTCCATTTTTGCACTCAGGTCAAAGTCTCACAGCCCTCTATCATAATCCAGAGTTTTGAGAAGATTGGAGAAACTTAATTTTTCGCCCAAAAATGAAAAAAAACGAAAGGGGTAACACTGTCGTTTTTTTTTTCGGGTCGAAATTTTGAATTTCGATATCTCAGCTCTGGAAGGGTCTAGAGCCTCCATTTTTGCACTCAGGTCAAAGTCTCACAGCCCTCTATCATAATCCAGAGTTTTGAGAAGATTGGAGAAACTTAATTTTTCGCCCAAAATGAAAAAAAACGAAAGGGGTAACACTGTCGTTTTTTTTTTCGGGTCGAAATTTTAAGTTTCGATATCTCAGCTCTGGAAGGGTCTAGAGCCTCCATTTTTGCACTCAGGTCAAAGTCTCACAGCCCTCTATCATAATCCAGAGTTTTGAGAAGATTGGAGAAACTTAATTTTTCGCCCAAAAATGAAAAAAAACGAAAGGGGTAACACTGTCGTTTTTTTTTTCGGGTCGAAATTTTGAATTTCGATATCTCAGCTCTGGAAGGGTCTAGAGCCTCCATTTTTGCACTCAGGTCAAAGTCTCACAGCCCTCTATCATAATCCAGAGTTTTGAGAAGATTGGAGAAACTTAATTTTTCGCCCAAAAATGAAAAAAAACGAAAGGGGTAACACTGTCGTTTTTTTTTCGGGTCGAAATTTTGAATTTCGATATCTCAGCTCTGGAAGGGTCTAGAGCCTCCATTTTTGCACTCAGGTCAAAGTCTCACAGCCCTCTATCATAATCCAGAGTTTTGAGAAGATTGGAGAAACTTAATTTTTCGCCCAAAAATGAAAAAAAACGAAAGGGGTAACACTGTCGTTTTTTTTTCGGGTCGAAATTTTGAATTTCGATATCTCAGCTCTGGAAGGGTCTAGAGCCTCCATTTTTGCACTCAGGTCAAAGTCTCACAGCCCTCTATCATAATCCAGAGTTTTGAGAAGATTGGAGAAACTTAATTTTTCGCCCAAAAATGAAAAAAAACGAAAGGGGTAACACTGTCGTTTTTTTTTCGGGTCGAAATTTTGAAGTTTGATATCTCAGCTCTGGAAGGGTCTAGAGCCTCCATTTTTGCACTCAGGTCAAAGTCTCACAGCCCTCTATCATAATCCAGAGTTTTGAGAAGATTGGAGAAACTTAATTTTTCGCCCAAAAATGAAAAAAAACGAAAGGGGTAACACTGTCGTTTTTTTTTCGGGTCGAAATTTTGAATTTCGATATCTCAGCTCTGGAAGGGTCTAGAGCCTCCATTTTTGCACTCAGGTCAAAGTCTCACAGCCCTCTATCATAATCCAGAGTTTTGAGAAGATTGGAGAAACTTAATTTTTCGCCCAAAAATGAAAAAAAAACGAAAGGGGTAACACTGTCGTTTTTTTTTTCGGGTCGAAATTTTGAATTTCGATATCTCAGCTCTGGAAGGGTCTAGAGCCTCCATTTTTGCACTCAGGTCAAAGTCTCACAGCCCTCTATCATAATCCAGAGTTTTGAGAAGATTGGAGAAACTTAATTTTTCGCCCAAAAATGAAAAAAAACGAAAGGGGTAACACTGTCGTTTTTTTTTCGGGTCGAAATTTTGAAGTTTCGATATCTCAGCTCTGGAAGGGTCTAGAGCCTCCATTTTTGCACTCAGGTCAAAGTCTCACAGCCCTCTATCATAATCCAGAGTTTTGA